GTTCCAGATCCTTTACATTACATCCAAAGCAACTACTTTACAACTAATATTAGTTTCATACAACTCACTGACACACTGGTTTTATTATGTCATTCCAGGGTTTCTGACACTATTAGCCTCCTCCCCCCGTGGGAATCCGATGTTGGATCCAGAGGTTATGAGCCTCACAAGAAAAAAATAGCAAATTAAGTTTTACCGACCTCCTTTTGTCAGACCTTTCCATTCTCACGCAGCTCTATTGATAAATTGATTAGCAATGTCATAGTCGGCGTAGCCTGGCCATATAGGCATTTACATATCAATGTTGCTGACAATAGGGCCGAACAATGGAGGAGATTGTTGCTGGTTCAAGGTTAAACAAAGCAGAGGTTTTCTCACTGCTGAGACAGAAGAGTCTCAGTGTCAAACTGTGGAATAAAGATATAGACAACTGAGGACGTAGAGTTAGACAAGGCAAGAGTTTTATGAAAAATACACTAATGTAGCTTTCAAACGTAAACAATATAGCTGTTTTGAAGGGTTCTGTCAACCTTTCAAAACAGAAAATTGAAATAAAAATTGGCATTACCACATCTGGTAGACTGTGAATTTGTGCTTGATGGGAACAATTTACTCAATTTGGCGGGATGATTGGGGTATCGTTGGTATTTTTGAGTCAACACTGTTATAAGTGAGAACCAGGGAAGCATACTTTTCTTAAATTTTCGTCTGAAACACCTAGCAGGGGGTTATTTTATTGCACATTATTCAGTTGCATTCTAAAGCAGGAAGTTATTGAAGAGCTTCTTGTAGATATCAAATGGCATTTGCAGTAGCCAATAGCACTTACTGTGTGGATTTGAAACACAGGGAAGATTCATTCTGGTAGCTAGATTGTGGATCTTGGTCTCATTTGGAAGGGGCTTAAAAATCCAGGGAGTGTTTTTTGCACCCAAAGTTCTTTACATCTAAAATACAGAATAAGTATTTGTCATTTCCTGTAATGTCCTCAAAAAATGGTAAAGAAGGGAGAAAACATCCAAAGTAACCACACACTTGCATGTGGGCGCTAATCTGTTAAAGACATTTAGGATATCTGAAACTTACATTTTGAATTCATGAAAACTAATTCATCCATTCTGTCTAAATCCAGATAACCTTCCAAACAACAGTTGTGTAATCACCCCCTGTGTGACTCCTTATAACTCTTACATGAAGGCCTCTACCTCCTGAATAAATGATGGACTCTTTTTCTGTCTCTACTTTAAAAAATTCAAAAGCAGTCCAAAATAAAACCAGAAACTGTTGGGTGTATGTTGAACTCAGGAGTGGAGCTGTGATTGGATAACTCTTTTCCCTGTTCAGTGGCCCGGGGATGGCTCAGGACAGTATGGCCCCTGTGATCCACGGGATTACAAGAGTGGGACTGACTGACTGACTGACTGACTGACTGAACGCTGATGAGGAGCGTGGTTGCTGTGATGTCACTCGGCACGCATCAGAGTCTGCCAGCGACATAAGATGCTCTTAATCATTCATGGCCCTGTCACCACTTGTCTCAGTTTGAGCCGGAGTCATGTGGCACTTTGAGTACTCGGTTACATAAAGGCATCGTCACCGGCTGGCACCAAGACTGAGGAGAGAATCCTCAATCTAAAGGAAACAAGAGCGTACTCATTACCTCGCTCCTGGCATATTTGGTGCTCTAACACAGACATGTTCAGTTTTTTACATATCTCAAATGAAAAACTATGTACTGTGAGTTCGACCAGTTTGTCCGTTTGGCTCCATGAGTAAACAAGAGGGCTGAGAGGGAAATTTGCCTCAAGCTCTACTTAGAGTGTGTTTAGTACAGGTCATACAAGTCAGACTGACTTAAGCAAAACATGTATATGGAGCGTGTTTTTACTTCCTGTCTAGACACTGAAGTTAAAGAACTTTGTTACTTTTCGTTGTTTTTTTATTACAGAAGAAGGTCTGATATATTCCGCCTGCATTCACAAATCAAACAGCTACAGCAACATTAAATTCTACACTGCCAAAAAACAAATCTTAGCAAGTGTTATTGTCTAATTTATGGTCTAAAATATCTCTTTACTACTAAGAATCCTACTGTTAGATATAACACCAAAATAAGGCCTGAATTGCTTGTGATAGGTTAAAATCATATTTCTCTCTAAACAGAGGTTGTTTGGTGTTTTTGCAAAGCTGAGATAACCGGGCACATATGACATCTGTGATTGCAATGTTGTAAATAGCTGTGCTTTGTGCTTTGTCTCTTCAATACAAAGCACCACACTGTCATTTTTCCACCTTTTAAATACATATATAGGTGTCGTTCTGTTTGCAAGCCGGCAATTAAATTCACAGAGCTGAGAAGTAAATGTTAAATGTATTGAAGAGGGTCAGGGAGCGTCTGATGCTGCGCAATGCGATGGGATATCTTACGCTCACGTCCTGTTAGAATACGGTGTTAATCTGAAAGAAAATGTAACCATGCCACATTCTTATCCAGGGTACTGAAAAACTTTTGTGTCCTTTCAAATTGTCTCTGGAATGTTATTATGAAACAGTAGACTTCACAAGACACTGCCATTCTTCATGACTTCTTTTTTAAAGTACTGAAAGGCTAGAACTGAATATGACAGGACTGCCTGCAGGCCGCACTTCATCTTTTGTCATGCTCACAATAATGGGGTCTTGACGATCCTGAGGGGAGTTGAAACTGTTCCCCATCAAACACCAAGCGGCCCCAGAAGACGTAAAATGGGCCATTTCCTAGAATGACTGTAAGGTGTGAAGTTTGCACCTTTTGATATTTGATCACCCACTGACATATTTTATTCTGAGGTCGAATGTCTTGGAGTGACGACGCACTTCAAAAGCATTCCCCTGCAGCTGAAGCATTGTGCCATTTGTCTTATTGCCCCACATGTGGCCACCAGGAAGGGTTAATCCATCTGAATAAGCGGATCTCTCCGTGTAGGGGATAAAATCTTTCTCCGCTGTCTCCGGCCGGCTTAGAGACAGGAAGCTCGCTTGGTAGCCAGTGCTCAGCTCTGATGTTGCCATAGAGAAATACAAAGCTATGAGTAGCGGGGAGGAAAACATCAGTTGATGAGCTGTCTTCAGTGGTCAGTCGCACATGCAGCTGACTTTTATGCTATAGATACTAATTGGCTTCTGCACGGGGCATGAAGTAATAAAGCTAGATGCTAGATCACACTGAATTTCTCTACCACTATGATTTAGCTCAGAGAGACTTTGTAGGCATTTGTTTGCTATGCACTTTAATCTTCTAATTTAGCATCCAGTTGCTTTTTTATTGGATTTTGTAACAGTAAACCCCCTCCTTTTATAAAGGGTGTGAATTGAACTCGAATTGGCTTTTACAATAGAACTTGAAAATCAACTTTGTTGAAGCATTTGCTCTTTGTTAGGCTTTCTTTTGTGCCACCCTTCTTTGTAGAGGGGAAAGTGCATCTTCTTCATTAGCACTGCCAGAACTACAGAAGAAAGCTTGAATGGAGATTTTAAATACGATAAACCCTTGGAACTGGATAGTGTTCAGTCCCCTTTGGCGATGATCTCTCTTTTGGGAAAGAGGGGAACAAACAAGAGCCCTAGAGTCTATCATCTATCAACCCCCCTTCTGTTCCCTCTACTGCTACAGTTGCCTTTCCAACTGAATGGGTTCTTGTCAGTGATGCAAATGTTTTCATGGGTGACGTTGCTTTGGAATATTGTTGAGTGAATCCCCCATTCATTCACAATGGGGATTCGCATACAGGCCTAGAGCGTGGGCTCCAGCTCCGGTTTGAAAACAGAGTATGACGAGGGTTGCTGTCTGGCAAAAACAAATGAACCCCTTGTTAATGTCAGAAGCTCACAGAGTCAGTGAACTCTAGCTAGCGAATAAGTGGGTGTTTAAACCTTTTCTCCATTTGATTCTGATTTAAGATTATGTTTCAAGGCTTGGGTTGCCCGTGACTTAGGGACACTTGGGTTTAATTTCTGAAATGGGCCATATTATGAGCTTATTGAGGCAAAGATAATCAGTGCAAGAGCAGGATCAAAGTGACCTCATAAAATCAAGAGCACACCGCTTTCCTCACACAAAAAGCCATTAATCCTTGACTTGGCATCACCAGAGCTGGGAGTTGCCCACTGATGTTTGTTCAGTGAATGGTAAAAAAAAAAGCCAAAGTAAGATATATTTTTTATAGATAATCAAACGTCGCCTTCAAAGCCGAAAGAAAAGGGGTAAAATTGAGAGGAAAAACTACAAAGAGCTAGCAGTGGAAACACTTCATCTCTTGACTATAGGAGGGCAAGAACAGAAAGTAGCAAGTCTGGACTTTCTGAGCTGTTGCTGAAAGTCGATCCATGCTGTAAAAAGGCTGTTCCACTTCATTTTTTCGTCTTTTCTTTCCATTCTTTTCAATCCAGCCAGCTTGAACTGCTCTGGCTCCCAGTATCCTGTGTCTTGCTGGTTATGTAACAGTCAGGGGCCTAAATGGGAAGTAAAGCACAGCAGTGACAGCGGACACTGCAGCCACTTGAAAAAATGAATGTGAAAGCAGCCCATTAGAGTTGACAGTGAAAGCTCCGAAATGTATCAGAAGAATGACACAGGAACATTTGTATTGACTCTTGCTTTGCCTTGGTCAGCTTCAGTGGGGGTATTAGTACTGGTTTTTAATAAGTTGAAGTTGCTGTGAAATGTGTACAAGAAAGCTTTTCTCCACGATTATGTAACACTCTTTCAGACTTGGGCATAGAAAAGTCTAGTGAGAACCACTCAAGTGAGGCCTCATTTTGAAGCCTTGGCAATGAAACTTTCCGTACTTGATGCAGGACTAAACAGAGCAAACTTTGTAATTGATAGAGAAGCTTTTAAAGTGCTACTTTACGTTTTCCTTTGTCTTTCATTGATAGCATGTTTCATGTGTAAGGTGCAAAGTGTTTGGTTCACATAAATTAATGATGTGGTGTTAAGGATCTTCTTTTCTTTTTCACAGGCCGATTCAACGGTAAGATGAAACCAGAACTGGAGGACCAGAATGTTTGGACACATTAAACACCTGGAATTGAACCTTCTTTGACAACATCTGGTACTATTGGCAACAAAAAAAATCTGAAAAGAATCGAAACTACTACAGAACCTAGATTTTTTTTTTTCTACTTGTGGATTATAAGTAAAAGACTGCAAACATGCCTATTCTCAAGCAGCTTGTAAACAACTCTAACCAGTCAAAGCGACGGTCACGGGCCGACCTGACCGCAGAGATGATCAGCGCTCCATTGGGCGACTTCCGCCACACCATGCACGTTGGCCGGGGAGGCGATGCATTCGGGGACACTTCATTTCTAAGCACCCGATCTGGGGAACCTCCCAGGGAGCCTGAACCAAAGCAAAACTCCCCAGGCCCCAAACCAGGGCTGCTGTCGCGTACATTCAGAAGCAGCAAGCGCTCTCAGTCTGTGAACCGTGGGGACAAGTACGAGTACAACACGATGGCGCCTTCTGGTGGCTCATCCGGCTATGTCAAAAATGCCATATCTCTGCCTTACCTTAACGATGATGATATGAGCAGAGGTCACCTGACAAAGAGTGTTTCTTCAAGCCCCATGAAGACGGTGATGGAGATTGAGACCAAGCCGGTAAATGGCGCAGCTGCAATGGCAACAATTGATGCGGAGTTCGATGAGCGTAATTTCGGTGAGCTTACCGACTTGCCACCATCCATGCCAAAGGGAGGCGGGATGAAGCACGCAGAGTCTATGATGTCCTTCAACATTGACTTGGGGCCCTCCATGCTGGGGGACATCTTAAGCGTGATGGAAAAGAAAGGCTGGGAGGAGGATGACCTCGGCTATGAAGAAGGCAAGGGTAGCGATGGCCGAGCCTCACCCTCCAACATACCCCACATAGATGACGATGACGCGGAAGTGCGGGCCCCGACAAGGCCACCTCGCAGCATGTACCAGCAGAAGACCATAGTGGATCCATACACCCCGGAGCTACAAACCAGGAACAACCACCACAACCTGGACAGTTACTCTGTGTCCAGCTCCGGCTCGGCTACTGAGGAGAAACCTCAGTACCACCTCCAGGACGGTGACACAGACAGCGCAAAGTACAGCTCGCCACGTGGGGAGGAAGACCGAGATTTCACCTTCATGGATGACGACGAGGATGAGATTCGAGTGTAAACCAGACTGGTAATACTGCCATGAACAGTCTTGGAGGACACTTATCGAGACGAGCAGATGTTGAGAGGCTATCACAAGCTGTTGTAGGCAGGGGGGATGATTTGGAGGAAGGGCCACTGCTGCTCTAAGCGCCCTGTAGATCTGTATTATGTTTGTACACTTTGTTCAACATCATAAATAAAACCAATTAGGCCTTACTCACTGTGCTGTAGCAAGAAGATGTGAGCTGAGTGCAGACAGACTTGCTCACAGAGTGGAACTCTTGAAGGGCTTGGGTTGTTAATCGTTGCAGATTTACGCAGCTTCAAACTCTGAACTCACGAATGGGAATTTCCCATTTCAAACAATACTGGCACATGTGTTTGAACTCTTTCTTCTCCAAGGTGAATGATCGAACAAAGAAAAGCAGCAAGCCATTGGCGATGAACGCGTCTTGGGAAGTAAAGTTCGACCACAAGGTTGGAGAAACTGTACCCAAGCCGTCATTCACATTGATATCACGTTTGTTGTGGGTTGTGTGAGGTGAGGAAATGGATATGTGAGGGCACAAAGTTGATGTAGATGTGTGTATTAGAGATTTTGAACAAGGAAGAGGGAAAGGACATTTTGCCAATGACATTGTTTGGCATAAACACTAAGTAGATAAAGTAGTTATTACTTTTCCATGTCTTACTTTAAGGGGTGACTTTTTATTACTTTTGTCAAGCATGTCTACTGTTGTAGAGCTTGTTGTTTTTTTTTAGTTAGTAGTTATTCTGTTTTATTTTTCCTCCTGTTTGTCTTAAGTTAGCATTGCCTCCATTCCTTACATTCACAGACAGCTGTGGTATTTATTCATTTATATTAATAAGGGATGAATCAGTCTAATTATGCACTACAAGGTCTTAAAAGTTATGATTTGGGTGTTTTTTTTCCGAATGTGTTTCTCGACTTTAAAAATCGTAAGGGTACCACAGAGTAAACCAGCTTCTTTTTTCTTTTTTATGGAATTTTGATAAACGGCACTTAATTCTCAAGTAGACACAAACTCACCTTTGCTGTCATATTTGTGGGAATGCCACATTAGATGACAAGGACCTATGTTTGTAAAAAAAAATGTGAATTGTCAAAAAAAAAGAGGCCTTTTGTACGTGTCCTGGGTCCTTTACTTTATTTTTTTTAAAGAGACAGGACAGAAGTGGTGATTGGGCTAATTCAGTGTGTTTCTGGGTCATTCCACATCATCACTGACGATGGCAGCATGAGCAGGTCAGCGGAGAGCGATGAGTGTGAAAGGGACAGTTGGTAAAAATCCAAATGAATAGTTATGGCTTGTCCCTAAGGGAAGAGAAAGGATGTAAAAACATGTCCAAGGTGTTATTGGATTGCAGCTTTTTTTTTTTTTTTTATGGACGGGCTTCGGGTATGTCTCGGGGCAGTGCTGAGAGTGGCAGACATTTCCTTAACCGGCCCCGCAGGTGACAAGACTCACCTCCTCTATGCAGCCTAAATCACACAGCAGAAACAGATGATTAAATCAACCAATCATCTGGGCCTTTTCCCAGTCTACTCATTAAATGTGCTGGATTATTGAACCACAACCAGCTGGAACTGCTCCAGGAACAGCAGGGTCAGGGACGGACAGGTGGACCCTTTCTCTTTGATTTTTTTTTGTGTTTTTAGTTGTACGCTCACTCAGTTGGCTCCTCCAGGTTACTTTAAGTTCTAAATAAGGCAACGAAGAGGCGTACTTTAGTTCCCTGTGTTGATGATTCACGTCTGACCTTTTTTTTTTATGTCTTGTTTGAAAACTAATTGCCACGTTTGACAAATGGGAACCTTTATGTCCGGTTGTGGCATTGATGCAGGTGTGTACATATGGAATCAGGATGCTGTGCCATTATTTTCTCGGGTTTTATTGTATACTTTAAAAACCACCATGTCCATATGAAGAGGATGCAACGAGTTCAAGCAATCTAGAGGAAATTGCCAAGTACGTTCTAACCATATTATTGGAAAATGATAGCAGGATGTTTAATTTGTGTTCATTTTTTTACTCATGTATAGACTTGCAGTATGGTTTAAGTCAGAAATCTTACCTTTTTTTCCTTAATGTAAATGGGCCAAATTTGAAGATGTCTTTAACTTTATATTAAAATGAATTGTGAAATATGTGGTTTGTGGATTGTTTGGGCTAGTGTTTTAGTCAAGACCACACTAACCGAGACCAAGACATACTACCAGAGACCAGAGTGTGCCGAGACCAAGACAAGATCGAGACATTTAGGGATCGAAAACGAGTCAAGACCAAGACCAAGGCAGGGTGAGACCGAGTCAAGACCAAGACCAAGGCTTGGTGAGGCCAAGACCAAAATAGCCTATCAGTGGTGGTTTTGATTTAAAATCTGAAGTCCGCACAGTCCGGGACAGCGACAAGACTGAGTAAAAATGCCTCCGATTACGAGACGAGTCAGATCTTCCAAAGGTGGTCTCAAGACCAAGACCGATTTCGAGTACTACAACACTAGTTTGCGCAGCTGCAATCCTCCATCTTCATCACCAACAAATGAACACTCCTGAAGTTTTCTTTATTTTTTTAAACCACATCATGTGAGTATGATTTGTGCTATCGATTCTTACAGCTAACAACCTTCATCATGAGCATTGTGAGTATGTGGTTATAGTGAGGAAATCAGAGGAATGTTAGCGGCTTTAATACAAAAAAAAGCACATTTGTGGCCAAATTGTATTTGCAAGTAAAGAATCTGCAACCAAGACTGCTGGAATTTAATGGAAAATAATGGACAAGTATACTAAATCACCCTGAAATACTTTCTCGTAATTGTCCGAACATTCTGGTATGTGTTGTGCTGCTTTATGGGAAACTGCTAAGTAGGCCAGAACAAACCATATAAAGGAATTTGCAAATACTCCCAGCCTCAGGTCTGCTTGGAAGGTTTTTCCGTGGCCCTGACAGCCGTGGTTTGGTGAGTGGCGGAGAAGATAACAACCAGCTCAAAGTTCAGCTGTAGAATGTTTTCTGCTTTTTTTCATTTTTCTCTATTCAGTGGCTGTAGTGTTACACCAAGTATGTACTATCTTTCTTTCCCTTTCTTTATCCTGCTTTTACAGTATATTAATATATTCCCTTCTCTTTGAAATAACAGCTATATTTTTCAATAAAAGAGCAAGCTGGTAATCTTTAACCACGACTCCGCTCTTTTTGTTTATTCCTTTTGTTTTGTTTCTTTTCATTCCGGGCCTCATTTGTGCGAGATTATTCACTTTCTGCTTTTCCAAAATAGGCAGAGCACGCACTGAAATGTGACCTTCACACAGAAGACCCGAGTATTTGGTAGTGATGGAGCCGCTGAAAGAGTTCCAGCCAAATCCACACTTTGACAAACACACAGTCAGGAGTGGATTATTCAGCATAAATAACCCTGAAATGAAAGATAAAACCTTGTTGGAACAGATTTCACATTACGAGCGAGATGAGTCTTGTTGGCTAATTAGAAGCCTCCAGTCTGACATTGATCCTAACAGGCTTTATGCGTTATCAACCCAGCTGTAAAGACGACTGAAACAGTGCTTGTGTTCCATGACGGGCAGCTTTAAAGACCGAATATTAACTTTTTTTAAATGAGCCAATTCATTGTGTGTGTGAGGAAGGAAAGAAGAGAGAATATTGCTTTACATGGTGCATTCATGATGGAGGGAGAGAGCAGCACACTAACTGTACAGACGGAAAAACATCACAGCTCTCTCTCTTCTCTGTCAGATATGATTTATTCTTGTTACAGCCATCTGGTTGTGTGACAACAGAATTATTCTGTCGTTAAAATCAAATGTGTTGTTTCTGAGTCCGAGCAAACAATGTGGTGCAAACACGTCTTTGTGTTTCATTTGTTTTCATGACCGTCATTGAGAAAAGGCACCGTGATATCAGTTCTAAGAAGAGCTGCTTGCTGTATACAGTGAAGACAATTCTCAGGAGATTTAATTGGACTATTTCTGAAGTGTTAACTCAACACTTCAGCTTCGCAAAGAACAAGTGTTAACTTGCTGGAAACCATAGATATAGATAGAGGACCATAGATAGACATTCACTCCACTTCTACACCATGTTTTTTCCATTGTATGCATCTTTAAAATTACCCTACAACATCACCTTTGAGTGACAGCTTGAGCTTTTTTTTTTTTTGTACATATTAAGATCTAAAATATAACACTTACAAATATCCTTTAAAATTGAATCCTATCAAGGCGGCAGTAGCTCAGTCTGTAGGGACTTGGGTTGGGAATCGGAGGGTCGACAGTTCAAGTCCTGGTGCGGAGCTGAATACCAAAGTTGGTCTGGTAGCTGAAGAGGTGCTATGTCACTTCCTGAGAATTGCTGAGATTGTAAAACCAGAATTTCCCCCAGGGCGTAATAAAGAATGCAAAATGTGAAAAAACAAAACAAAAACAGATATACATAAGTACTCGAAACTATGCAACACTTGAACCACTTTCCTGCACATCGAATGCTCTCACTACACCAATGTGAGTACTTCTCCCTGGTTATTCCTCTGTGCTCTTCTAACTCTGAGTAGGATTTTTAAAAAAGCAGATCTTTTACTGTTATTATAAACTGGGGTATCAGTAATAAAAATTCAAATACCCCTACCATATCGCCTTAACAAAGCACCTCAAGTGCCGTCGCTCTTTAAACTGCATTAAAAAACTGACAGATCCAAAGGCGTTTTATCGAATCGAGTATCTTTCCATTTCTTTCGCACATCAACCTGACAGTTTGATTAAATAAGAAATATACATCCTTCAGTGTCAGACTTGCAGTGCTGGGAGAAGTGGTCATTATACTCGTTTGTAGATGTGCTAATATCGCCCTCTAGTGTCAGTTGTATGTAATGCAGGTTACATTCCTGGCTGTAGTTACTGCAGAACAAACCTGTAGTTGAGGTTATATTAGTGTGATGCTTAGATATAAAATCAGAGGGCATGATTGAAACATTTTTACGACAGACATTTTTATTACTTTGATTCATGTGTAATCATAATGTCTATAAGTCACATATTTTGTGTTAAATATCAACGGTCAGAGTAGTTATTATCAACTTTAACCCACTCATTTGCATATAACACAACAGGAAGCAGAGATATTCAATCAAGTCCCCTCAAGTGAATCTGAATGTCCATGATGTCTGTCGTCGTCAAAGAATTTCTGCTGATTTTTTCTTCCAAACATGTCACCGTCTCCCTTTACCCTTGGTCTTCTGTTTGTGAAAGATCATATTCTGTAAAGAAAATAAATACCATGCTGATCCCTCTGACAGGTCGGCCGGACAAACTATTCATGGGTTTTCAATCCTCATCCTCACCTAATGTGAAAAACACAGCCTTCACGGTGTTTTGGGAAATTCAAAATGGGACGAATAATAAACCTTTTTTTTTTTGATTGTGTTTGAATGTTTAAGCTTTTCCCAAAAAAAAACACTCCATCAACTCAAATCCCCACAGAGCTTTGGGCTCCCGTAGCTTAGTGGTTAATGTGCGGGCCCCATATACGGAGGCTGTAGCTCGAATCTGACCTGTGGCTCCTTTCCCACTCTCTCCCTCTCTTTCTCTCGCCCTGATTTTTGACTCTATCCAATGTCCTATCGCTAAAATAAAGACATAAAAAGCCCCAAAATAAACCTTAAAAAGCATAGACCTCAACATGATGAAGGAAACGTGGATTTAAAATGCAAAGTGTTAAATGTTATCAGAGTGCTATACTTATTTCTAATCCTTCTTGTTTTGGCTCCAGGAATAGTCATCTTCTCTTTTGTTGGATTATAAATGACCAAATTTGAGCACAAACATCTGTTTTCCTGTCTTTGTTTTCCAAACCCCCAAAATGTCCCCTAATTGCCACTTACACTAATAATCCACCCAAATGGCTCGTTAACGCACAATGCATCACAAAAAGCATTCAAAATGTATTAGCATGGTACAGCTAAGAGGATTTCTGTGTAGTGCTTTCAGTAATGTCTCTCCTTTGTTTAAGCATGTTGTCAGACAAACAGCTGATCGGTGCGGTGACTCAGAGCAGCGACCGTGTGGGACATGCTGTGTTCCTGTCACTGAGTTTAAAATGTCCTGCGAAAAAAAAATTCACGTCTGTGTGCGACGCTGCAAATATTGACTCTGCCTCTCGTCCTGTTTGATGTTCTCCATCTATTCACGTACAGAGAGTGTGTGTTGAAAGTCTGAAATAACCGACTATGGGGTGATAGGATCATGCAGCTGCTTCCTTTTTTTTGCATTTTTTAAAAGTCTTTTCAAACCTCCTTGCAGTACTGTTCTACCAGTATTCTGTTTGCTGTTGGGTGGAAAAGTTTTCTTAATGATGAGAAATGCAGATTTTTTTTGCAGTGGAAATCTAGAGCCGACTCACATTCACAGAAAACTTTGGCGATCATTAGAGCGACTTATTAAAGATACATGATTTTCTCCTCATCAAGAGGTTCCTTCTCAAAAAGTGAGAATCAAGTCAGAGTATTTCTATTGGACATTCAAAACAGTGTGAGCTGAAGTGTTCCACAAACATGAGCAAGTTAAAACATTGTAAAACTATGACACCAATTATTTTTTTATTTTTTTTAAGCAATTGGCTGTTCTCTCTCTCTCTCTCGCTCTCTGATTTGCTGATTTGCAACTCTTTTCGCTGTCCTGTCTCGAATAAAAAGACTAAAGATAAATTATTTAAAAGAAAAATAGATTTAAAAAAATCAAGATAAAAACTATGGAAGCCCTAAATGGACATGCATTCATATAACATTGCACACTCCGTTTTCCCGTGACTCATTTCCTGCTGTTTTCCTCAGATCGGACTTTTTACAAAAGCACAAAACAAACATAGAAGTATAGGCTTAATTTACCTCGTTAGTGTGCATAATGTCAGCATGGCATGTCATGGTCTGGCCTGACCCGTTTACTGTTTTGTTTTTTAAGATTTGCAGAGAAATATCCCATTACCACAAAAAGACATAAAACTTCTCTGTGTGTCTTTGGAAACTGACTGATAAATATGCATCTTCCTGAAGTGCAGCTTGATCATTACCATGACATTAAGACAGCTCTACATTTAGTCTACAATGTTTTTATAGAGTTCTGTCTCTAATGCTGTA